TCAGGCTCCTGTCTGGCTACAGCTCAAATCATAGGAACAGTCATGCAAGTTACAATCATTCTTGGTTCCACCTGAAAGCAGAGGATGAAGGGAGCTCAGCAATAAGACCTCAGTTTGACTGCTCTGTATCAAAGGCTCTGCAGGCAAAATCCTTGACTCATATAAATGAAGACTCCTGAATATCCCTGCATCTGGCAAAAGCAAAATTGATTCTAGGACCTTGTTGTGCAAAGAAATCATGGAAGGAATTCCCTGAATTTTGGGGAAGATGGATACTATCTCTAACACCCTTTGCATTAATCTTGATTAAGAACCACTTGAGACGACCTGCCTGAGCTTAATTGGAAACAGGTTGTGACAGATCATCTGATCTACCTAGGATGGTTTAGAGTTAAACCTGTGTTTAGACTGAATTGTTTTTCACACCCACTTTAATACCCAAAATCTGACATGAGATTTTCATCTCTCCATGAAAGTTCTGGTGCAGTAGCAGGTGTGCAGACCTGTCCTGGCTGACCTATTCAAACTTGAATATTTCTCTGCACTATTTGGGGATCACTGCAGTGACTAAATCTATGAATGTTTTTTACTTTTTTTTTTTTTTTGCTTTGATCTGTTTCTCTGATCTAACAAGGGAAATGTTTCTCTCCCTTCTAAGGAAAAAAAAAATCACCCTTGTTAAGAATGCCTGAATAAGTCAGTGATTTAAGAAATGTACTTGAGGCACCAGCAGAAATCCCTTGGGTTTATTTATTTATTTTGTGAAATATTGAGCTTTAAAATGTTCCTTCCATACACAACTACATGATGTTGCCACTTGATCACAATTGGTGTCCCAGGTAGCTTATTTACACACACAGATGCAGCACTGGCTTCACTTCAGCAAATCTTTCATTCCTTATGAAGTTTCTGATGGAATTGGACACATCAGGAAGACAGAAATCCTCTGTGTCTGCAGGGAGCCATTACCATTTCCCAGTTCTTGGAATGGGACACTGGACTTCAGGCATTAATTGCTCAAGAAGTCAGAGCAGTGAATTACATACAGGTTAAACTCAGGTATTCTGGAGTTTTGCCCAATCTTTTCTATTTTCCATAAGGAAAAGTATTCATAAAAAGAAAATGACTGTTAAGAGCTTGATGAAATGTGTTTTAAGAGTTCCTCTCTTTCCACACCACTGGGAAGTGCAGCTGTCAACTTCACAGAATATGCTTTGTAAAAATGAAATTCCTGTAACTTCTGTGTTGACAAGAAAAATCTAGAGGAGGCTACATAAAATCATAGAACGGTTTGGTTGGAAGGGACCTTAAAGACCATCTTGTTCCAACCCCCTGCCATGGCCAGGGACACCTTCCACTAGACCAGGTTGCCCAAAGCATCGTCTAACCCGGCCTTGACCACCTCCAGGGATGGGGCATCCACAACTTCTCTGGGAAATGCAATTCAGTGCCTCACCACCCTCACGGTGAAGAATTTTTTCCTGATATCTAATCATGACCACTGATACTGGAGCTGCTGAGCTGTTACTTTTAAGTTAATCCTTGCAACAGAAGAAACAATTCACAGCAGCTCTTACTGAACACAGAATAATGATTTCATGTTGAGCAGAAAAGTTTCCTACATCCTTTTTATTTGGAGGTTGATACAGTGATTGACAGAACCTGAAAGCAACTTTTCTGGCCAAGCTGCAAAGTCCTGCTGAACACTTGTTGAGCTGTATGATCAAGCAGCCACCTGTGATAAACTCCTCAGCCCAGCTAATTGTGCTTTTCTCAATTTGGCATCATAAGGTTCCACCGTAGATCTTTGCAAATCCTGAAAATACACTCTAAGTACTTACAACACAGTAAAAGAAAACCTTAAGCTGTTTTTCCCATGACCACGGTAAAACAGCAGGTGTGGGAGAACAGGCTTTGAGACGCACAGGAGATGGTTCCTTTCTGAACTGCCCCAAACATCTCATGGCTCTTTACACTAGTGATGGCCTGGCTACAGGAACAGCTGGCTAACCTTTGTCTGATCCCTCAGCTCTGAGGAAGGTCTGAATTTAACTGAATTTAATGACTACCTTTTATTTGTTCCTTAGAAACAACTGCAAAATTTCATGTGCAGCACAAAAATGACTCATACAGCTGACACAGTGGCTCAATTTACTGTTGTCTTCTTTCGCCTCTTCCAAGCTCTCCTAAAGTATCCTTAACAAACGTGAAACAGAAAGGGAGTTTGAATCCTGTTGCAAATACAGTTTGACTCCTCTACCTCATTGTAGGGATGTGTCCAAAACCAGAAGTCAAAGCAAGAGTGTATTGCTTTTATTGGGGTAGTTGGGCATGAGTGCTGGATTTACACAGGTAAAAATTCTGTCCTGCTTCCAAATAGAAAGTTACAGTTTTTAGCTGCTGGGGAAACAAAGTCTGGCATTGGAATCTAGCCAGGTAGCTCAGTCAATTGGATCACAGTGAAAAGTTCTTAAATGTAACTAGGAATGTAACTTGAATCAGGAATGTAACAGTCTATGAAAGACACAGACCTAAGGTCTAGGTGTGTGCAGCAAGGACGAATCCCAGTAACTCCCAATTCATCATATCCTGACCAGTGATGAGCAGAAATATGTGCTGCAGATACTCCAGTGTTCCAGGCATTGGTGTTGACAAAGGTGATGCCTTTGGTCCGCAGTGAGTTTTACCCCCTTATTATAGGAATAACTTTTAAACTGTTCTATGCACCAAAGATAAAAATTTCTTTCCACTCAGTCATTCGGGATCTTATTTAGGATGTACTTGCAAGACTGCGAATTTGAGTGGTCAAAATATGTGACAAAATGTGCAAATTTAGGATTGCCTTTATTTTCTGTAGGGATTATTTACTACATACACATTAAAAGAATGACTTTGCAAGAGATGTTATCATCATTGTCTTCTATTGAGGCTCTCAGAACACCAGAGTTATGCTGATTTGCACAGTTTCAATGCCCTTGTCTTAGGTTGAATCCTGGAAGCCTTTCCCATCTTTAAGAGACTTAGATATTTGATCTTCTTGGCTTTTGCTTCCACAACAGTGCACATTCACAATGCCCATACATGGGAAATTTTATATTTCACTAGGATGCCACAGCTCTGATTGACATGTTTGAGTACAAAACAAAGAACCACATTAAAGACGTTGTCTCCTTCCTGCTTCTTCCTCTTAAGCTTCTCCTCCTTGTCAGTGGATACACATTTCAAACCTGCTCATATGTCATTATCCCCAAGAGGGTTTTCCAGTAGTCATCTCCTGCTTTGATAGGACTGACTTTGTGACAATGAACAGGACACAAGTAAGATGGTGTACTAGCTTCCCCCACTGAGATAAGAGTTAATGCAAATGTTCTCAGCCAAAAAACAATGTGCTCAGGCACCCTGACACCACAGCTGCCTTGTGCAGACTGCAACTGTCTTTGGCCAGGACAAACACCCTCCTTCAAATGGAGAAAGTCCTAGCTGCAAGAAGAAAACTGAATTAGTTTATCTACTAATGAATGTTTTCCCCACCTTTTCTCAGCTTTCTTGTGAGTTTTAAAGACTAGAATTTCTTGCAGCTTGTCTTTAATCCCCGCCGTAATAATAGTTTAAATCGTGCTTAGCTTCTACACTGAAATATTGCTTGTAAATATTTAATTAGAGCCTGTTCACTTTCATACCATCAACCTTATATTGAATCTGAACACAAGGAGTGTGGAGAGTACTAAGAAATCCAGGCCAAGCCTTAAAAGCATTCTAAATCACTGAAGTCACTATTTAGTCTAACTTTCTTTTTTCAAAGCAGGAGTGCCAGTTGGCATCTTCTGTAGTGTGTGTTGTCTTCATACCTTTGTATGACTCAGATACCAGTAACTAAAATAATCCCAGAACTGCTTCCCAGCACAATGCATGGACAGCATCCTAACTTTAAAATGAGTTCATTCAAGCAACTAACCATGAGGGACTTTTCTCCTACATGGAAACATACAACACAACAGTACCAGGAAGCACAGCAATGTTTTCTAGGAAAAAAACCAAACACCATAAAACAATGCTGCAGAAAGAGCAATCTTAAATTCAGGTCCTTATACTGCTGTTCCTTTTCCAAAGAGATTTTCTCCGAAAAACAGCACCAAAGCACTGCTAAGAGTGCAAGAGGAACAGGATGGTAGCAATAACATCACCTTCCTGTACCTGTAACTTAAACACATAGTGCATATTCTTGAGATTGAGATGTGGAAAGGCCTGTCAGGGAGAACACAGGCTGGAATCATTCCCCCCTCTGTTCCCATTCCTGTGAGAGTCAATTTGGGTGATTCAGTCCAGACCCTCTGTATTTATGCCCAATAGGTGTTTGACATCTCAACAACTGTGGAATTTCCATGCCTTCCTCACACTGTATATTCTGGTGCTTTGCTAACTGCTCTGGTTTGCCAGCTTTCACTAATTCCCAGTTTGTCTCCTTTGTGTCAACAGTGCTGCTTCTGTTTCTCAGTGTCAGCCTGTTTGTTCTGTGTTTTACCCACTGGTTCTATATTCTTTTACTTTAGATAAAAATCAAACATTTGTAAAAAGTATAACCTAAAACAGAACTGCAGAAAACAACAGAACTTTGATGGTTCTTCTCTTGCTCTCGCCTGGGCTCTCCCCTTCATCAGCTTCTTCCTTTGAGTCCAATGGTCCAAAGAGAAAACTGAGTTTCCTCGGTGATGAGTGAAAAAGGATTACTTCATGTATTTTGTAGGATCTACCATACACTACAAATCCCATATGATGGCTGCATTTATTTTTGGAATAGCATGATCCTGACTTAACAACTGTAACTCCCAGCATTCCTGCTGCTCTGTAGCCAGCTCTTCCCTGGCCTCTACCTGTGGAACCTCTTGCTCGTGTACAGCACCTTGCAACAGTTCTTAGGGGAAGAAAAAAACCCCATGAGTAAACAAGTACATTTAATTTTCAAGTATAATCATTTTGCATGTAAAGAGGATAAACCTAAGTAATAATTTTAAAAAACCCAACAAATCATTTATATTTTATATAAAAAGCCAGTTATTTCAAGTTGTACACATTAGGGGAAACAGCGCTACAGCTTAATGAGGAACAAATTATATCCATAATTGAAACAGCTAGGAACAAGTTATTACGGACATATATACACATCAGTACCATACTTATTAATATACTTCAGAAAAAACTAATATTTCCAAACAAGTGTAGCCCATTTCCCCTCCTCATACTCATTGTTTCCTGATGTTACTCTGCAGAGTCCTTTGTAACCTGGCTATGTTGGCATCCAGGGCTGCTAAGCTATTCTTAAAGTCCTCTTCATCTCGAGAAGTAAAGGTTGAGAACGAAGACGCACTCCACTCAGACCTCACTGATAAACCATCACATGAAATGCAACTAAAATCAGCTGGTTTACTGCCTTGTCTCTGAGAAACCTCTGCTGGAAATGGCATTGACACACGAGGGAATGCACCAGGCTGAGGTTGGTCTGGTTTATCTGCGGAATCTTTTGCAGCTCCACTTGGAATGACTTTTGGTCTCACTTGGACTTTGTCTCCTTCCAGTTTTGCTTTATCCCCTGTAATTTCAGGCGTGTTTTCCACAGGCTTTTTCACACTGTATCCAGCACTCAACTTATCCAGTACAGCTGGATCCTTTGATAGCTCACACTGCTGCACAGAACTTGGGAGCTCACAGAAATCCAAAGTTTTACAAGCCCCTCTACTCTGGGGTAGCATACCAGAGATCGGCTGCTGTTTTTTAGAGGCACTGCTAGTCAGTGGAATATAAATTGTCTCATCCAACTTGTTTTGGTCATCTAGTAAAGTCCCAGAATCACTAATTGTTTCTGCATCTTGGTTCAGTGAAGGGTGTAGTGCTCTGGGAGCTGATGTTCCTTCTTCTATGAGTGTACTGTTTATTTTACTTCCTTCAGCATCAAACTTTTCATAGGCCAGATTTTGCATTTCCACGTTTCCACTTTCATTTGCGAACTGAAGATCTGTATCTACCAAAATATGATCCATTTCTAATTTTTTAAGGTAAGTCATTACTGAAGTACTCCCAGGAAACAGCTCAGGTTGCATCTGCTTTTCATGGTCTTCCAAAAGAGACTTTGAGAGAGTTTTTCCAGGTTTGGGTCTAACATTGTCCACTGTGAGGTCAGACAGAAGCTTGGCCATACTGCCCTGCAACGTTCTGTTTAGGTAAGATCAAAAAATCAGGTTCAAAATTAGTCACTAAAAACAACAGTTACAAACTTTTCTGTGGCACCAAATGAGTAGATTTATCAGACTGTGGCAAAGTGGCAATGCTCTTTCTACATATCGACATAAAACGCAGGAAAAACGTGAACCAATTCCAAGGTTCTTGAACTTTTCTTCAGCTCAATGTGGTTGTAAAATAACTAGAATAACACAACCCAATGAAGTTCTCCAGATTATTCCTGGTTTACCTGCTTTGTGCAGCACAAAATGAAATAAATTGATATCAAGAAACTGTTCAAAGCAGATAGAAGTAGTTATCAAAATCCCTACAAAATGTTTTTTGAATTATTGTTCCCATTACATCTAAAAATATTACAAAAAATATTATAAAGGAAATAATTCTTCTAACTTCCTGCTTTGTACATCGAAAGCAATTCATGTTTAGATGCTTATGTCTACAGCAGATACATAAACACATGCAGTAAGACATTATTATACCACCATCTGGTGGTCACTTTAGCAGCCACAGAAGTGTCTAAAATTCTACTGAAGAATTTAAAAAGGTTAATTAAAAATGTTCTGCTGTTTCCATCAGTACCAACTATAAACATGAAGACAACAGTTTTGTTTCCTGTACACAGAATGTCCAAACCAATTTTTTGTGCATACCACTATACATCTGCAAAAACCTATATATGTCTCCCAGCTTGCTGCTATTTTTATCATAAAAGACTGTAATAAAATAAATTCACAGTAGTAGTTCTAAAAAAAAAAAATAAATGTGAGTAACACCACCTTCATTCAGTGATCCAAGAACTACCTCTACCCATAATTATATCTGGCCATAATCCACTTCAAATATGTGTACAGTTAAAGAAAGGACTGCTCATTCCCACAGGAAGAGCTTGCTGTGGGTCCTGAAGGCAGATCTTGTCTGCCAGTTGTTCTCAAAAACAGACCAATACCTAAACCTGTGTAAAAAAAAAATTCAGGTTAAGAGTTAGTTTCCAAATTCTACACCTTCAAGGGAAGTACCAGTATTCAGTTTTCAGGTCCTTGTCCTTCCCATGGAACAACTTATCGCCAGACCTGCTATTAAGAGTTAAAACTTCACACAAGTTACTGCAGATAGTATTTTACTTTACCACAGAATTCAAGTCATGGAATATGACAACTCTGTTGAAACAAAATTAGAGCACCATTGTAGCAAAAGTAACTACAAAGAGAAGTTTTAGCCTATGTTACCCCCTACCACCAAGATACTAAGATTACAGTAATCCACAGCATGAAAAAAGAGAAAAAACAAGGGAAAAAAGGAAAACAGACAAACAAAACAAACAAACAAACAAAAAACCAAAACAAAAAGGAGGAATGTCAAGAGGCAAAAAAATGGCTTAGCCAACAGTACCTGGTAAATTCACGAAGTCTCTTAACCTCGGCATCACGCTGACATAATGTTATGCCCAAAATCTTATTTTCTTTCTCTGAAGCTTCCAGCTTAAACTGAAGGCTCTTCACATTTCCTAATGCTTCTTCCACTTCTGAAATGCCAAGAAGAATTCACTGAATTATTTGAGTTCTAAAACATTAAACAAAGAATAACCAAATTGAAAACACGTACCAATCTTGAGCTTGGTGGAATGAATGTCATAATGCTGTTTGTTTTCAAGCAGTTCTTCTTCTTTATTTTGAATAACTTTGGCAAGGCGCTTATTTTCTTCTTTCTGACTTTCTATTATTTTAAGAAGTTCTTCATTTTTAGCCTGCAGTGAATCAAGGCCTTTCTGCGATTCTTTCAGTTGACTCTGGAGCATCATATTCAAGGACTGCAAAGACACTACTGCCAAAAGTGAAACATAAAAAGTTTAAGTGTTTTGTGTGGTAATTTGAATTGCTAAACCAAACTAAGTTTTTAAATAACCTTGGTAATTCGCATTTTGGCTACAAATAGAGGATGGGTCTTTTCCAGCAGCAAGATAAAGCTCAAGCTTTCTTTTTAATTATCTGCCATCTTCATTTTAAGAGGCACATAAGGAAAAATAATTTGCTTTGCAGCTGAAGAGCCAAGTCTGACTCTGAGGAGTCTAAAAAGGCCCAACACTCCATGCAAATGAAGTTGCATGATTAGACCCACAACACTTCGTTTGGTTGCCACTTAAGGCCTCAATACATACAGACATAGATACAAATATATAAATAAAAAATAACAGTATCTATTAAAATAAAGCTGTAACAAATATCCCCCAAACAAGCAACATTATCAGTACTTTACATTCATAGTTGAAGCTCTGTCCAGATTTCTTCTCACTGGTTTCTTGTTCCCTGAGTTTCTGGTTTAATATTCTTAGCCTCCTAAATGTGAATTGTGAAAAAGCACAAATTCAGAATTATGAGAATTAGCTCAAAAGCACTGCACTTTAAATTAGTTTGGTAAGAAGTTGCTACTAAGTGTCATGTAATGTTTCAGAAATATAAAAACATTTTAATTACAGGTTTTCCTTACATTCCTGTACTACTTCAACACAAAAGACCCTTTGCACATTCTGGTGTATATCTTTGCCCCTGTTCTGAAGTCAAGTGCTACCCAGTTATGCATTTGAAAGCTCCTCTAACATGGAGACACTTTTGCATTTGAGAATGGACTACAAAAAGAATGTGAGCAGGCTAACTACGTTGATACTGCAGTTTTCAGAACAGTGCATTGATCCCACCCAGCCAAAATGCCCAATCTTGAGGTAACCAACACTATTAAGACATCAGCATTAACTGAAGCCTTGCTGTGTGTTAGTAATTTATTTTTAAGTTATATAGCCTTACCAACACACTTTCTAGGACATGTCCTGGCACCATGACCATGATAAAACAGGCAATTCGGAACAGGCCTGCAGGCCCATGTGCAGCAGCCCCAGGATCCCTGGCAGTTACCGACCTGCGCAGCTGGGCGTTTTCACTCCTGAGAGGCTGCAGAGCCAGGGCTATTTCAGCTTGGATGTTTGTACTTCCCACTACAGCTGGGAGTGATGATACGCACCCTTCTATTTCACTCATCAACCTCAGCATTTCTGAATCATCTGCAAGAGGTGAGGGAAAAAAAAGAGACTCCATAAACCCATAAAGCTGCAATACAACAGTAGTATTTTACATTGTGATTAAGCAATCTACAAAGTTTACTAGTATCTACTTTTTTTTTTCCCCCCAAGAAAACCTCATCTTTAACTATATTTATTTAAAATTGTTAAGCTTGACTATGAAAACTATGCTTTACATTCTCAATAAAACTCAAGCCACCATCTCTCCAACCAGCCTTGGTGGGGTTGCTGTTGCAACGTGTCCACACTGGGCCCTCTCTCAGGGGAAAAGTCTATATATGAAATAGGAACAATCCTTACCCCAGATGTTATGATACTGCTAAAATAGTCCAAAAAATAATTTAATACTTATGCAGAGTAAACCTGAAGGTATTACTCCTGTGGAAAACCACGCTAAGATGTCACACATCACCTGACACATACAACTTGCAGAAACTGAAGTGTTCACATTTAACAGAGCTCTTGTGTTATTTGTATGTAATTACTGCACAACAAAAATGTCCTCACCTTGGTCTGTTATCAGTTCTCTGAGTTCGCCCATAAGATATTTTACAGTCATAACTTTATGGGCTGTTTCTTCTGGACTTTCTCTTCTAGATTTTAGAACTTTATTCACACAGCTTGTCCTACAGCTTGTATCTCTCACTGGAGCCACGTCAAGTACACTCAACTCATCTTCCTCACTGAGTACGTCCTCACTGTGCTCTTCAGGAGTGTCCTCCTCCGAGTCACTTGAGCCACCACATTGTGCTGGACAGTGCTGATGGCACCTCTGTTCAGTGCCGCCATTCAGCCCCTCCCGTGACTGCAACAGGGCCAGGTGAGCTTGTATGCACCTTATCAAATCTGCCTCTTTTGTCTGGTGCTCTTGGCTTGGGGTCACCTCTCTGCCAGAAGACGCTGGGATCAGTGCAGGCACTGCAGGGGTTGGAGCACCTGGTGCTATACAAGGGATCACAGCAGGAGGAGCAGTGGCAGATTGTACTTGTGCAGCAGGAGCAGCAGAAACTACTGGGAAAACAACAGGTCCTCCCACCTCTGGCACACGTTCACTGGCACTATCTACAGGAACACCCTGCATAAAGAATACTCAAATTAAACATAAAATTAACGTAATTTCTAAATCTTAAAAAAAAAAAACACCACCAAACAACACAACACTTGTCTGACCCAGTGTAGTCTTGATCATTCTTTGTTAATTACAAGAACAACTACAAATTATTAACTGAATAATTTTCCTGTATAATAAGGAGTAATTAAAATGTAAATCTGGTTTAGATTGCCTTTATCTTAAATATTATTGGCAACATTAAAGAACAGTTCTTTTTGAAATGTTCTGGAAAGAAAAAAACCTCAGCAGTGTTTCTTGAATCCAACCAGAACAGGGAAGAAACCCCTCCCCCAAGATTTTAAGTAGATGAATTTCTTAAAAGTCAAGGCCAGCACTAGCTATACATGGACTGCCTGCAGATGGAAGGTAGGTCTACAGTCTTACGGATTCAAGGTGCAATATATACCCTTAAATACACAGACACTTTAACTTAGGGCTCTAAGATAATACAGTGTCTGAAGAAATGATCAACTTGATCATTGGCAGGGAAAAGCTCCATGCTATATATGATTTCTTCTATCAGGAGTTGTTTAATGATCCTAATGTGCATCACTGAGAATGAAATTAAGAGTAATCAGTAATTTCCTGCACCTTCCAGGTTTATTGTCCATTACAGAATTCCCCATGCAGAAACGAGCAGCCAGTTGAAATGCCTCTAATTTCATTTCTTGGGTGTCTATATAAGATGTGCTTTGAAAAGCAGTATTTTCTCTCAGTGTTTATTTTGTTCATCACTACAGGTTGAAATGTGAAATTTTTTTAAAGGAAAAGTATTAGGAAAACTGACCAAAATAAATGTATAAATAAATAGGCAGTACTAATTCAGTATGTTTATTTATAGAATCAAACTTCTACTTACTGACTGAGTAGTCAAGGGACTAGATGAATGCTGCAGGGACAGTACTGATGTGGATGTAGGTAACAGATAATTAAAAGCTGCAACATTTTGACATCCTGAAAGAAAATAGCACTCAGAGATCAGAGAAATTTGGGGCAAAACTCATGCAGTTAAACAGTCAGCTCTACATTAATAGTTCCACTAACCCTGATTTGAGGTAGGAGAAGGAGTTATAGTAGGAATTTCATTACTCTCCCGAAGTGGTTGGCCAGTTATCAGAGACATCTGAGTCTCCACATGCTCACACAGTTTCTGATACATCACAGGAGAGTGCTGACTGCAAGGCACATGAACAGGTTGAACCATCTGATTCTGTGCTGCACCGGAAAGTTCTTTCTCAGTAGAAGGTGTGGTGGACAAGGCAAATTTTCTATTTGATATTGGCACTGCAGAGAAGTAAGGAACAAAAAACCCAGCTGAAGTTGCCTGTCTTCTCGAGCTACACAAACCCATCGTGTTGTCTGGCAGATTTGTAAATGCACTCAACTGTCTTTCTTATACATGGAACTCAAATATTTGTGAATTTCAGCAACTGTTTACTAAACACTTAAGGTTTTAAAAAGCAGTAATTAATGTCTACATCCTTTTGTGGATCCAGCCTGGGATCAGCCTATAACAAACCATTATTTGAAGCCTGGCTGTATCTCAGTAAGTTGAGGAGTCTCTTAATGTTGTTCAAGAAAAAAAATCAAGCCCAAGAAATCCCACTTACCAATTTCTTTTCGGACAGGGGCAGGAGTAACATTTCCTGTCAACCCCTTCTTCTTGGAAGTATTGCCTTTGGTTAGCAACGGCTTGGAAGCAATTTTAAAGGTAGTTGTTTTCCCAGGTTGTTTATGGACAGTCTCCTTTCCTAGCATTAGTTGAAAGAAAAAGCAGTCAACAAAACAAATCAAGAGACTATTACGAAACCTAAAAATGTAACTTGCATTTTCAAAAGCTACAACCTGTAGCCTCATTTTGTATGAAATTCTTCAGTAAAGCTGCACACTGGTCAAGTCCACCCTGAATAGCATCAACCTGCACAAAGAACACTGCAGTCAGAAAACGAGTACCACTGTTTTCTTTCAGCAAACTCAGATTTGAGTGGAGTAATCTCCACTCTGTCACCTGACAAAGAACAAACCATAACCAGAAAGAAGTATCATTTTCAGTATACCACAATTACATGGAATTTTGCCAACGTAAATTTTGAGGTTCAGATGCAGCAGTATCTAAATTAACCTGCTTTTCTTCTATTACTTATGGTATTACAATTTCCCTTCTCTTAGATAACAGGGACTGTATTAAAAAGTCATTTAATTACCTGATTGTCAGAGTCAGTGGAAAAGAATTCTGCATCAGAATAACATCCTCTCCTTAAGCCCAACCTGAAAAAGTCAAATTCACTGTTTATACCAACTCCTTAACATGCAGCAAAGTAAAAAAACAACTTACTTTCACTCAATAGCAGGAAACAAGAGGAAATTAATTTCAACAAGAAAAAAATAACTTTCACTTTCTGAAAACTTTGCATTGCTGTAACAAACACATTTAGCCAATAATTATAGCTTAAGTCAAAAGAGAATTCAGTCTCCATTCAACAACCTGACATACAGCTAGCAATAATAAAAATTCAATTTACTATAAATAAAACATATGGAGACTCGACTCTCTACTTTTACATGCAAAATCTCTATTCAGTTTGTGTCTGTTAATGGGCTGCTTAGAACCTGGCTGTACTGATTTTCAGCTAGAAACTTTTTTTACATATACTACAAATTTCGGTAAGTTGTGCAGTGTGACAAGGATAAGATTCCCAAACACTCACACATACACTCAATCTTAAAACAGTATTTGTTCAAGGTCTTACTGTTTTCTTCCATTTGTTAGTTTAACTGCTCCTGACAGCCTTCCAGAGGACAAACCCTGTTGATTATAGAAATACACTTTGATTTCCACGAAGTACTTTCACGACATACTTGAAGACTACCATTGCCCCCCAGTTCCAAGAACTTTTGCAGAAGTGGATCAGTTGAAGGTAACTTACAGCTCCCAGGCCAAGCAAGGGGCAACTGCTGCCACCAGGGCCTTATTTTCCACAAAACGTGGCCTTCCAGCATGATGCTTTGATAATTTCCACAGCGTTCTACAGATACAGTGATTCACTTGCTGACACGTCCAAGAGCTGATGTATAAACTCGATAAATGCCCCTCTGACCTCTCGGGACTTTAAGGATCACACAGGGTGGAAGAACCCTCACACAGTCCCAGAGTTAGGGGAAGGGTCAGGCTGGGAGAGACCACAGTGGGTCCTCTGGACCCACCTCCCTGCTCAAGCAGGGTCATCCCAGAGCACGTGGCACAGGACTGCGTCCAGGCGGTTCTGGAATATCTCCAGTGAGGGAGACTCCACACCTTCTCTGCGCGACCCGTTCTCCCCTTTAGGTATTTATACACTTTGATGAGGTGCCCTCTCAGCCGTCTCTTCTCGAGGCTGAGCAGACCCAGCTCCCCCAGCCTTTCCCCGTAAGAGGGATGCTCCAGTCCCCCAGCCACCCTCACCGCGCTCCGCCGGACCCGCTCCGGGAGCCCCACGAGAGACACGCCCGGAGCTGGACACCGCGGCCCCGGAAGGCCCGACCGCCCGCAGGAGCTGTTACGGAATGGCAGGAGGGACCCCCACAGCTCCCCTCGCCCCGTCCGGGCACTCGTAGGGTCTGTGAGGCCCAGACGAGCCCGCCCCGCTCCCCCAGCGCCCCCCGCCCCTCTCGCACCTTGCGCGGCCGCGCAGCTCCCGCCGCCGCCATGGCCCGGCCCTGTCCCCGCCCCGCCCGCCAATCACGGCTCGGCCCGTCCGCGGGGGGCGGGGCTAAAGGGGGGCGAGGCCAACGGCCGCGAGCAGGGGAGGAAGCGGCGCCGCCGAGCGCGGCTGCGGATTGGCGAAAAGCGGGCGCGGAGGAGCCAATGGGAGGAGAGAAGGGAGAAGGGTGGGGCCGAGGCGGGCCGTGAGGGGCGGGCGCGCGCCTCGGCCCCGCCCCGGCGCTCCAGAGGGAAAATTCCCCGAAATAAATGGGAATGGGCGTCACTGTGTTCTGCCAGGCCGTTCTCTCCGGTTCCTTAGAGCTCCTTTTGGAGCAAGATCACTATAATGGAACAGCTGAAGTTAGGGAAGGAAAAAAAAAAAAAAAAAAAGAAGGTGAAAACAGCTCAAAACGATGTGAGGCAACTACCGAGTTAGAGCCGGAACCATTGGTATACTTCTCTCTTAAAGGGAGTTTCTGAAAGTTTGTGGGTAAATTCTCGTTGAACTAATAGATGTGGGTGCAAGATTTAAATAATGAAGAATTATTCCAAGTAGTTTAGCAACAAGTAACATATGAAAAAACCTAAACATCCCCGCACCCCAATCCCATCCTTTGGCTTGAAGATACACAGATCAGCACTTCATCACATTCATAAAATGCGTCACACTCATGAAATATGTGGGAAAATCGAGCCTTGCAGGTGGGTGGTCACAGAATCAGAGACTCAGAGAATCAGCTCGTTTGGAAAACACCTCCTTGATTCCAGCCTGTGAGCGATCACTACAGGTCAGCTACACCATGGCCCCAAGCACCAAATCCATTCTTTCCTTAAGCACCTCCAGGGGCAATGACTCCACCACATCCCTGGGCAGCCCATTCCGATGATGTGTAATCACCTTTTCTGCGAAGAATCTCCCCTGATGTCCAACCTGAGCATCCCCTGGCGCAGTTTAAGACTCAGTCCTCTCCTTCCATGTTGTCCCTCAGGGCCTCCCCGAGCCGCCAGCACAGCCCGTGCCCTGTGCCCCCTCAGGGACACACAGGATGAAGCCAGGCTGGCAGCCGGGCACAGGGACCTGCTGATGCGCTGTGTGCAGGCTAAATCCATCGGATCTTTGTCCTCCATGCTGGCTTCCAGCTCACCTTAAACCTGCTGTGGCAATCCCTGAAAACACCTGCCCGTACGGATCATCAGGGGCAGTGCCTCAGGCTCCACACACACAAACACACGCTTGTGTTTATCACTGGCATGTCCATGTTCTGCATATCCTGGCTCTTCTTAGCTGGATAATAGACCGTTTGAACACACAGCGTGGAAAGCAATTACATTGGCTCAGGCTGAAAATATGGTTGCATTACTATGCTATTAAGAGTACTACAGCAGAAGTATATATAAATATTCAAACATAACTGCTCTCCCAATGTGTAAATTGTGTTGTTATTACTGTGCTAACATTTATGCTGAAACTCCGCTGAACTCAAAATAAAAATATATTGTGAAAATATTTATCATCTTGTTAGAAATAAACCCAAACAAAACAGTAACCCAGAAGGGTTTTCTCTCAGGAATTTGGAGACTGCTTCAATTCTTCTCTTTGAAAAGTTTAAAACAAGAAGATCACTGTAATAGCGCAGCTGAAGGCAGGAATATAAGCTAAGAAAAAAAAAGAAAAAAGATTAAAGCAGCTCAAAAAGATGTGTGGCAACTACCAGTTTGATATACTTTTCTCTTAAGGGAGTTTCTGGAAGTTTGTGGATAAATTCTCATTGAACTGATAGATGTGAGTGCAGTATTTAAGGAAGAATTACTCCAAATTTTTTAGCAACAAGTAACATATAAAAAACCCGCAATCACCCCACCCCAATCCCATCCTTTGGTTTGAAGACACACAGATCAGCACTTCGTTTTTTTGCATCAAAAGGAGTATAAATACAGAAGGCCATTGAGCTCAGTACTTGCCAACTGAACCATTTTGAAACTACAGATGAAACAGCAAGATTGTCTTATAAATAATTTTTAAAGTGCAACTGCAAAGATTAAGAAGTCACATAAATAATTACAATTTTCATGGTCACAGAGCTCCAAGTGGTCACTCTTCAAAGACCAGAACAAGCTGTTGTGAGACTCATGGTAGAGCTACAACAGTTGGCAGCAGTGTAAGCTGAGCACAGAGCAAAGAAAATGAAGCTAAAGGTGAGAGATGACATTTATCAATCAGTCAATCCAGTTTCATCAGAAAATGGGGCTTTTCCAGTACCTACCTAGGAAAACCATGTCATATTTGCATCCAGTGTAAGTTGCAAAAGTCTCTTGCTACCGGTACTAAGTAGTTCTGGGGATCTAATTAAGTGCTAACCTAAGCACAATCTAATATAAAGCTGTTCTCTGAATGAGTTACAACCAAAAAGTTGTGTGGACTTAATAAGGGAGCATTTCACAAAATAACAAGGTTTTTGTAAAATCAGTTGGCCAGGAATACATGTATTGCTTGAGACTAGATTGATAGTTGCCCAAATCACTGTAAGTGTCCAATTAGGGAATAAAGGTACAGCTTGGATACTGGAAAGAAAACTAACAGCTTTTTTATCTGTCTGCCTGTCTTTCAGTCTACACCTGGCCAACAGAAAAGGGCAGGTGAATAGCAATGAATATGAAGTTAAGAATGCATCTTACAGAGAACATGTACTTCAAAACCAGGTAAGTCAAAAATCATGCTTAAGGGATGTCATATCAATTAAGATGGATATTATGGACCCTAGAACTGTGGTGCAGTTGTAAAAGAGGTTTTGAAATGATCTACAGTAGATTTTCGATGTTTCAGTCCAAGATATGCTTTAGTTCAATCACACGTAGTGAAACCTGCCGCAGGACTCGCTGCATGGTCTGTGTGGTTCAGAAAGCCTGTCATAAAATTCTGATTTTCTGATATTTTTGGAATTAATGTGTCTATAAGGCATTAATTTCTTCTTCCTGTTTTGTAAATATAGAAGGGGGGAGAAAAAAAATAACTTGGTTTTGGTCTGTCTGCCTACATGCAAGTGAATGATCTTATGCAAAACACATTAAACGCTCCTCACCTTGAGAAGTTCTCACAAGAACGAGATCGTGAGGGTCTTGACTTGTAGGAGACATCAGTAAGACTAAAGCTGTTGTGACCTTTCTGAGCTGGTGTCAGGGTAAGTAACACTCCGGGGCGCTCGGACGGTGGATGTCACTGTGCTGATGCAGGACTGGTGCAGGAGATTTGATCGCCACAAGATGGCGACACGGGAACATAAAACAATTCTCTCCGCATGGAAACCAAAAGGGGCTTGTCATTTCCGTACGGTAAATCCAGGCACATTTTTGTTTTGATAACACCAAGAGAATTCCAGTGATATTTTACAGAATCTTTGTCAAAACTTGTCTTTTCGGGCAATCCTTCTGACAGGAATAATGTTTTGTTAGGAAAAGTGAATGTATGAAAATAGCAATTTTTTTTTTGCTAAAGCACTATTTATTTACTTCTCTACTAAATATAAAATCTACTGTGAGATCAAAATGACCTTTAAAACCACATAAACAATTTTCACAGTATTCAAGTTTAGGAGTAAATCTAGAGTCTGATGGCTTTAGAGGGAAAAACAAACTCTAACAACAGATGATTTTCTCAAATGCTCATTTTCATTCTGTGTTAGAAAAAGAAGTGAAGCAATAGAAGAACAGCAAATAAAATACCTAAACAGAATTGTCCCTTAATAGAGTGTTTGTCCAAATTTCCCATGAGGCAGATTTTGGAAGCAGTACTGCGATGAGAGTGTTGAAATCAATGGTCAATGCAGTTTGTCCCACCAGGTTTAAATCCTGTAACACTTGTTGTTTTAGGAGCAGATTCATAGATAAGTAAGTTATAATACCTAAAAGACTTAAAAATAATATCATTCTGTTGCAAAAAGCCAACAGAGCTTTAACCACAAATTTCTTCTAGAAGCTTTAACTTCCATTTGAACTGTACCAGCTCCTTCAGATAGTCTCAGGGGGTCTCTTCCAAGCTAAGTAATTCTATGATTCTGATTCAGAACTTTTTTCTTCTGCTTTTTTTTTTTCTCCACATCCTCTTTCGATTACCTCAGTGTAATCTATTGCCTTGCTCCCATCCATGGCCTAACCTCATCTGAATTAAAGTTATCAGCTGGGAAATAAAGCTGGCTATACCAGTATAATGACAGGGCCATAACCAGTGCTTTATTAATTCTCCGCATGATCCCACATAAGAATTATGGAACTAAGCAGTCTTCATTATATAAACCTTTGCCCAGCTTGTATGATTAGGATGAGTGAGAGGTCCTTTCCTAAGATCTGCAGTGAATCAATCCCATGAGTACACCTAACTAGTCACATCCGCACAGTAACCTGGTTGTCTTCCACTGATAACAGAAATGCACAGATCCATTTTCCTCTCTCTATTAAATGGCTAAAAGAATTAAAGAAGTCATGCCTTCAAGTGCTGTGAGAAGCATGTAGGTACTTTTCTGAATCCACAGTGAAATCCGTGACTGTATTTTCTGGGTTGTCAGCATGAACTGATAAAGCTTTTAAATTCTGGTTTCTTGTGGTGATGTGAGAAGACTGCAATCTGCTTTCCATACATACTGACTATCAGTTGCCATTAGATCCAAACCCACTCCCTGCCCTTTGGTTTTCCTAGTAACTCAAAACACGTGTTGTGGTACTGACTTCTCCTCACAGTCTTGGCTTTCTTTGACAGAGACTGTCTGAATATTAGGTAGTGTGAAAAGATGCTGATCTGTTTGCTTTGACAAAAGTTTGCTCCAGTCTTCTACATTAGCTATGCAAAATCTGAGTGAGTGAGAACAACAGCAAGACAGAACCAGGATACTTGTAATAATTCCTGGCTGCTGAGTGATTCTGGAAACAAAGGAACTCTTGCACTCACCCTGACAGCAGAAATGGCTGCAGCAAACTATTAGATGAAGCTTACAACCTTTGTCCCTGTGTCTCCAGCTGTCTTCCCCAATGCTTC